AAGCAACTTGTCTAGTAAATAACTCTTTGTTTTATTGAAACTTTGTTTCGGTTAGAAGACGAGTGATTAGACAGGTAGTAAGTACTATATGGTTTAACGTGGTAACTTCAAGGCGAAAATCCTTTTCAGTTTTTCAAGGAAACAGACTCTCAGGTGGTTGTCCTAGAAGCGAAAAAAATTTTCGACGAATTTTCATAGTAAAATCGCATCATAGTAACTGACACCCACATATCCGGTTGTGTGACATATTACTCTTCTCTCTTTAAAGTAAATGGATGTTGTTTATGCATAATTTTCAATCTATACTGAATAGGGAAATGCAAACACTAAATTATAATACGAGTCTTTTCCCAATATAGGTGAATCTAGAATAAATATAGGTGAATCTAGAATATCTGGTTAGTTGAGATGACATCGATTATATTATTATCATACCATATCTGCGCGGTCTGACCTTAGATCAGGCTAACTTGAATTATGCATAGACATCCACAAAGTATCCGTATTTTGTCATTAATATTAAAAGCGTTTATTATTACAGCAATAACTTTACTATTGATGTCTTACTTATACAGATAGCTTAACTGGTGAAAAAAAGACTCCGTTAATCAAACGTTTGTGCCCATTATTCAATGCTTCGTAAAATCGCATGGTGTTTTTTCTGGTCCGCGCCTTCCAAGATAGAATGGTTTTAGCACCCACCACCAACTTCGAAAACCCCTCCACTGTTCTCGGTATTTCCACATGCTGTAAATCCATCGTGATGATGGTATTTTCAAATAAATATTTTGATGCAGAAATTTTGAGGTGAAATCCATTAGATTGTAGGGTGTATGTTTCAATGTTTGTGATATTGTCTTTGGTGGCTGAGGGTAATGCAAAGAACAAGGCTGTGAGAATAACTTTAGAACAGTACTCAAGTTTCTGGAGGTCCCCTGTCCTTTTGCTGTAAGTATTTAAAATACCATCCTCCTGGACTAAAATTTCAGTCCCTAAAGATTTAAGAAAACCCTTCCCGTCTAGCTTCGGACCACCACAGCTAGCAACATTTAGCATCTCTTTAAGTTTCTCATATGACTTAGATGCCAACTCCCCACAACGTAGCTTTAAATCATCTTTTCCAAGAAAGGCATTCCTGATCAACGGGGTCCATACATATACACTGAACTCGTGTTCGGACATTGGTTGAAGTAGGGTATCGTTTTTGAATAAGAAATAGAAATGATCAAAAAGATTTCGCACAAAAATAAGATCATTAGATGCAACGGACATATCAATCGCATTTTCGTTCAAACATCTTGCCAAAGATTCTAAATCCTCTATTTCTTGAAACTTATTCAAGAAGTCCAATACTTCTTCTTCACAATCCACTATAAACTTGTCAATATATCGCTTGTCTGCAAAATAGACAGCTGTGGTTTCATAATCCTGAATTTGATCTGCTATGAACCGTTTGAAGTCAAGAGGTAGAAATTTCGCGCAACTAACATTGTGAATGTTGATGATAGAGGGCTTTTCGCTAATTCAGTTTTCTTCATTTTTGAGCAGGCGAAACTCAATCTATCAATGTTATTATACATCAACTTCTCACCCGGCAAGACTCGTGTCTTATACGAGTTTAAGACTTCGTTCGCTAAGTCATTCCTAATATATTTTCTGGTTGTTTTTTGCTTCTTGTCCTTTCCTGACACCAAGGATAGGCTTGAATCAGTATTAACTTCATCCATATCAACAGATTCAACGAGAACGGCCGATGTTTGTTGCTGAGAAGAAGAAACATCTATGAATACATTCGGAAGTGGAATGCTTTTCACGACTTCGGAGTCGGAGTCGGAGTCAGACTCTCCATTATAGGATGAATTTTGCTCTTGTTGAAAAGCATCCGTGTCGATGGTTCTGACCTATGCACACACATGACAAAAGGATTTATAGAAGTTTTGACCTATTTAAATTTATACACAGTGTATATATATATTGACCTTATTTGGTGGCGTTGAAGGCAGTTCCTCTCCTCGTCTTTTTCTTTCTGATATTCGAATGTTCTCATCTAACATATTGGCGTCGTCCAGAGCATTTTGCAACGAGGCACTCTTCAATGTTTCCTAAATTGTTGGACATATTAATATAAAATATCAATTGAATAATAGAGAAATATGAAAACGTTGACATTATCATAAATAAATAATTGTCATGAGCAGGGATATATTACCATATGGTCTTCCAACTGCAGCTGCCTCTGTGCATCCTTATTACGGCGGTGGTCTTTAAGTGCTTCAACAGTGTATGTGGCTGTCATATTTTGTTGCACTGAAATTCGCAAGTTTTCCTCTTCTTCCTTTATTACGAGGTGTCTCAAGAAACGTTTGACTTTTGATGCATCGAAATATCATAGTTCTTCAAAAGTTTCGCCAGCCTCCCGTTAATCCTTGATGTAGTATTTGTTCGACATTTATAGTGTTGCAGCGTGTTATAGATAGCTTTTTTGAGGTCTTCAACATCATCAACATAGATTTTCTTCTTGCGTTCCACGTGCTCTAAAATCGAAAGAATAGACCACTCTGTATACGCGGTATCGTTGAGATAGTCTTCAACAGTCGATTCAAACATCCTAAAGGTTAACAAAGACAGGTAATGAGCATTATTATAATCACAATGTATATAAACGCAACAAACCCCATGAAAAAAAGCATGCACAATCGACAGTATACTGGAAAACAGCATCCCGGATCAGGCCTTGAGACTATGCACCAAGGCGGAGCCTAGGAGACTGCCTCCAAGCATCTGATGCTGGGGGTAAGTTATACGCCATACACCTGTAGGTATACATAACATAGCATTGGAAAACAGCATCCCGGATCAGGCATTGGGACTATGCACCAAGGCGGAGCCTAGGAGACTGCCTCCAAGCATCTGACGCTGGGGGTAAGTTATACGCCATACGCCGGTAGAGCCATGCGCGATTGACAGCATCAAACACGAATGAATACTTGCCTTGCCCTCAACTCTGGTATTTGTTCGTTACGTGTCGAAGCTGTATTAATGTCGCGTTTTGGATTTCACATGACTTATTATGCACGTTACAATAATTTTTGTATCGTTTTATATGTGTAACATATTAATTCATCGAAACAGACTAAATACACAGTGGCTCTCTTTATAGTGTACCTCCTTTATAGTGGAGACTAATTAAAATCGCGATATAGTGGATAAAGTTTCAAAACCATCTATAATGAATGCTATCCGATATAGTGTATTTACTAATAAACTCTCGATATAGTGTATTTTTGAGAATTTTTTACTAGTGGATTTTTTTGATGTATATCTTGAAAAGTACAACCAATTATCTTCAAAAATCGTTGTGACTTACATAGTAAATACGTACAATAAAGCTCTTTGAAGAAAAATTTTTTTCGATACTTCTGTCCGGTGACCATATATTTATATTGTAGTGATTTTAAAAACAAAGAACTCAACTGCTTTAAAAATTTGTTATCTCTTGAAACATCTTTAGCAGAGTTGAATATAAAAAAATTTGTAATAATTTAGAAATCTTGGATTTAGAATTATCACCAAGAGTTAAATCTTAAATATTAGATACGAAGAGCTAATATGAGTGAAATACTTAGTATTTATAACACAAATTTTTTATTTTTCTAGATCCCATATTATTAGATTTGGTTATGAAAGATATGCCTAATGTCACCTTGACAAGTGCATTATGAATTCGCATCTCGATAACTTAGAAATGGAAAGAATATTTTTCTTCGAAGTTTTGTGGCACATCAAAGGTTGGTTAATTAACTTCCTTCCAACTCCTATTTGACAATTATTGGTCGCTGTGATAAATTAGTTTTGTCTTTCGTGTTTTCTAACAGTCTCTCAAACTTTGAAGGATCAGAAAAACTTCCAGATCTTTGTATCCGATATGACAAACTTTCCAAGTATGCAGAGAAATTACTTGATATTAAACATCGTTGTAAATATTTGCTCGAAATATAGGACAATACTATTGACGTAACGGTAATCAGCTGATCCGGACCGTGAATGATGTCATAATTATATCTTATGTTGTTCCGAACATTTTTGTTACTTTTTCAAATAATCCCCAAGATGAGCGCAAGTTTTCATGAAGATGAATATAGCAGTGTGTCATGGGACACACAGGCAACAGACATCCTTCAACCCAAAAGTTTCCTAGCCGAAAGTGATGACATAGCTGATGATACTGAGCAATCGACCTATACTAATGCCATTACCGACACCATGTACACAGTTAGTATGATTATTAAATACGGAAAACCATAGCGACAGTATGAATAGTGGCAAGAATAATAACAATCCTCTCAAAATATTGAACATGTTGATACACTATACAATCGTTGCACCTATAGTCTGCTTGGTTTATTACTTGATGTCTATATTGATGTATTCTCTCTGTACAAGAGCTTCACGGCGTCAGCACCGAGTCTGGCAAAACATACATCACCGTTGACTTCCACGACCGTAGCTTATCCGATGACAATCACAGTTACTGATCCATTAAACGAACTTGATGGAACAAGAGATACTTTTGTTTCGTACCTTATAACGACCAACGTAAGTATTGCTTGATTCTTCAAAAAATGTGAACGATAAATTAATGAAAAATCGCTATTCATGAACAGACAACGCTGGAAACGTTTGAGAAACCAACTGTTAGTGTTCGCCGACGATTTCAAGATTTCGTATTGCTCTACAATACATTAACCCGGGATTTCCCTGCGTGCGTAGTGCCACCATTACCCGATAAGCATCGTTTAGGTTGGTGAACAGAAAGACAAGAGAAATTATTGGAAGAGCAGTCTTGATTATAATTTGTAAGACGACGTTCTGACGATTGGTATGTCTGTTGCTGCCCATTAGAATACATCACTGGAGATCGCTTTAGCGCCGAATTTAAAGAAAAAAAGGAGAGCAAGGTAACTGTGATGTTCAATATATGAGGCATCTTTATTCGAACATACCTCGGTCTTTTTCTGCTGTGGCTGAATCAATCATATAACTGTTCACTTGCTCATCTAGCCTTCAGAGACTATTGAGCCGATTGGCCAGACACCCTACACTTCAAAAGAGTGAATACTTTAGAATATTTTTAGAGTCACGTGAATGGGTAGGCATAGTCTCGTTATCTGTGTATGCACTTTATTACGTATAATATTCACATAATGTTTGTCATCATATAACAGAACGCTGAATCGCTCTATCGTCGGGGGAAAACTTCAGACGGAGTACTTGATAATCTGGGTGATGTCTTGATGAATGCCTTTGTCAAGATTAAAAAGCCCGATGGGCGATTCACAGAGATTAAAGAGAATGTCGATAAGCTGGAAGAGAACTTACAGACTATCGAAAGATTATACCAGAGGATTGTAAAAAGACAAGCGGGTGAGATTACCGAGACCTAATAATTATACTTGAAACCTTTGCGTAATTGAACCATTCTTAATTTTTTTAATCGACAATTTTGCATTATAGATCTCGAAGCTGATTATGAAGACTTTGGTAATAGTGTTGTTGGTCTTAGTCAACTGGAAACGGGTATCGCCGAACCTCTGGACAAGTTCTCTAACGTTCTTTCAAAGTTTTCTGTTGCACTGAAGCACTTGGTAACTAGTCTGCTTTGAGGGGAGGGGGGGAAAGACAGTTAATATTACATATACTGTATATATGATAAACCTTATTCAAAATCTGTTTCGTAGAGAATGGGAGAAGAACAAGAATATTTGAATCAGATCAGAGATTTTCTAAGTTACTGTCATTGCGTCAAGGTGAGTATAGATGATAATGTATACACGTTCTCGTTAGTATTGCTATCAACTCGTATCCCTGTTTTGTTTTTTAGAATGTATTAAAGTTACGTGATCAGAAACAAGTCGATTTTGAGGATTTGTCCGATCATCTGCAACAGGCCACTACCGAACGAGAAGTTCTCGTAAACACTGGAAAGGGTGGAACTGGTATTGGATCGTTTTTGAGAGAGACCGTTGACAATATCAAGGGTATTGATGCTGAGAGAGCTAAGCAAGAAAGATTGGTTAAACTCGAATCACGAATTGATGAGGTATATATGTATAAGCTTGTCCCTTTATTTGGAATGGTGCTAGTGATTGCGTGTGGTAATGGTTCACTTAATTATATTTCATCATCTATGTTTCACACAGCTAAGTCGTGAAGTTGACAGTAGCCATGATGAATCTAATGGCTTCTCAGAAGAAGTGGTCAAGGAATATGAAATATTTTCGCAAGCAAAGGCCGATGAAATGAAGGAATACCTGCTAGCCTATACTGATAGTCATGTTGAATTCTTCAAAGAGGTAAACAGTTGTTCGGTCGCTCCGTGTCTATGGTCAGGTGTTTATATATTGTCTTTCTGCTGATTCTAACTATGAACTTGACATAGGGGAAGGACATGTGGGAATCTCTCATTCCCATCTTAGAGTCAATTCGTGTTCATGTGTAAATTAACTAATTTAATTGGATCACGTATAATACCTCCGTCTATCACATTGTTCTGGGTCGAGTAGGATTACAAGTATTTCGTGTCAACATGTTCTAGATCTGCGAACGATATGTAAATCGTTTGAGCTTTCTCCTCCGTAAGCAAGAGATGAAATTCGATATGGTGTAAATATGATAAATGGGAAACTGACATGCGTGTTCAATAACACTAGTTTGTTGTTTTATTATAATATTTGAAGTTTATGTGTAATAAATACTGTTATTCCAGTGACCGGATTATCAGGAAAGCAAATAATAAGTATTACGAGTTAATGTTGCTGCTCAATTTTCAATTATTATTTTTTTGCATACTCATGCATCTCCAGATGCACCACTTGCTCTCCATGCTGCTAAGATCAGCTCGACTACGTCAGAGACACCGATTCCATTCTTTACTTGAGTAAAGATTGTTGGCCCACCTTGTCTGTAAAAGAGCAAAGATGCAATTAATTATTTTGGATTCATTGAATAGAAGATTGATAAAGTCCTAAGTGGTCACCTCATTCGACGTGCATCTCTTTCCATAACGCCAAGATCTGCTCCAACAATGTCTGCTAGGTCTGTCTTGTTGATAATGAGAAGATCTGACTGCGTTATTCCTGGACCTCCTTTCCGAGGGATTTTATCGCCGCTGGCAACATCTATTACTATTATTCGGTAGCAATAATTAGAGCATTTTGCGCGAATATTCGATACTGAGCATATGCTTTATTCGCGATAAATTTTAACCAACCATAAATAATGAAATCAGCCAATTCTCTTGAATAATTAGCTGCCAGATTATCTCCACCACTTTCAATAAGTAATAGCTGCGTGTTAAAAATGGCGTGAAGCTCCTCTAGTGCCCCCAAGTTTGCAGAAATGTCTTCTCTGATAGCAGCATGCGGACAACCCCCAGTTTCGATCGCACGAATGCGTTCAGTTGGAAGAGCATTATGACGCACGAGGAACTCGGCATCTTCGCGTGTGAATATATCATTGGTGAGAGCAGCAACGGAATATTTGTCACGAAGTGTTTGGCAAAGTGCAAGCATCAATGCGGTCTTCCCGGAGCCTACGGGTCTATGTGAGTCGGTTATCAGACAATGCAATCTGACGATATCGCACAATCACGAGGATTATATCTCGAATAAATCACTGATAGCAGAATTCTATACTTACCCTCCTATCCCAACAGTGAACGCTCTTTCCTGCCAATTACGCTTTGCATAAATTGGCATTTCTCTTTGGATATAATTTCCAGGGCTGTCGAGTTTTTCGTGTGTGTGTCCATGATCATTGTCATGATCATGAGTATGATAATGTTCGTGAGAATGGAGAGCCTCATTACTTGTTGAGGTCTGATCCTCAAAACGGCATACTGGCTTTGAAGAAGACATATTTTCTGTTGCAAATTAGCGTGAGGGGGGATGGGGAAATCTTCAATATTAATTATCGGATATAAGACCAAGTCACATGACTTGCAACGAGCTTCAGATATTCTTTAAAAGTATTGCTCCGTTCATTACGTCAGAATGCTGGATTTTCCAGTTATTGGCTGTTCAATAGAGAATATTCCGACGGAGCTTGGATTGTTCGGATGATCGTCGCCAACCATTCTATTGACCGATAAACTAAGTCGCATACTTATCACGTTTCCATTACACAATATGTCGGAACAAGACCTTATCTTGGTGAAGAGAATACTATTCTCCGAACATGGTTTTTCCCATAGAGGACACTTTGTAATATTATCTTGTCGAGGCTTTTTCTATGTTAATTGTGGTTTAATTATAGTCACAAATTGACATCTCAGTTTAATACAATTCACTAGTCGCGACACAATTAATCGTTCATGTGAATAATATTATTTCAACATTTTATTATCAATAACCTTATCAAATCGTCTGCGATAGATGTTCGATGAAAATCTATAGATACAGTACCTCTGACAAATTTTTCTAAACATTTTAATATGAATTTTTACTCGTTAGAAAATTTTTTTAAAAAAAACAACAACAACAAAACAATAACCATTATATTAGATAAGGTACATTGATTTTTATATTGTTAAGTGCTCTTCTTCATAACTCCAATAATAAATTTAGAATTTACCTTTTCTTTAAATGCCCAAAGCATGATGTTTTATGTTTCTAATTCTAAAAAAATTTGCATCTGGACCTGATCAGTGAAGCCCATAATAATAAGAAACTATTACTAAATTAGAAAGTCATTCGTTTCGTCGATAATCATATTTGTCGACTGTCAATTCGCCGACAGGTCATTCACCGACAATTATTTCACTATTGGTTTCACTGCCGACAGTCATTTTTGATTACACTGAGATACAGTCGACTCTTCCTGAATGTGTCGCTTCAGAACTAAGAACGTGGGTTATAATACTAGATCACAAGCGATAGCCCATGTTCACATGAGAACGCTACCCTTAATGCTTAAATGTTCATATACAATTAATCGCAATTAAAATCTATGAGCAAAGCTGCCAAAGCTACATTTGCTTTATAGGAAATCCGCCCAACTGAAATATGACTGATTAAATGGTCTTCAACGTTCAGTAATTAATAATCTTAACTACAATACATTGATTAGTTTTTAATCGGATTTATGATTAAATCGAACGCTGCCTGCTGAATAACGCCTGCTTTTAAACCCATAATATAGTCTGAATGGCAAGTTTATAATTTAATCGCATGTGCAGTGAATAATTATTTTCATATAGCCGGATTGTCAAATTTGTCGGTGTGATGACTGTCGATGGAGTGGCGGTCGGCGAAATAAATTGTCGGCGAAGTAAATGTGCCATCAACGATATGATTGTTGACTATATGCTTCGCGTTAGTAAATTTCTTACGTAAAAGTGTAGTAATATCAGAATGCGGTTACTATCAATCTTTTTGGCTTGTAAATGTGCCTTTTTACATTTGGTTTTCCACGAACAACCCGCCCGACTGTACCTTCTGAAACCCCAGGATCTCAGCAACACGCTTGTACAGTGCGAATTCTGACGTTTTTTAGATGAGAAACTCTCCTCTGAAAAGTACTTGTGAGTACTTATAATCTTTCATTTTGTTGGCTAGTGAATAGATATATTAAACAATGTACTAGGTGAGTCTGGTCATTCGCTTGTACAATCTGTGCACAACTTCAATTAGACTATGATAGCAACAATTTCAAAGTATCTATTTTTTTTTTCTTTTGCACCATTCCAATTAAATCAAAACAGTTAGTATATTAGAGCATCAGAACATTAAATTATCAGAACATAGGAGCATAGAACATATCGCGAATGAGAGATTTTTATAAAAATTATTTTTACACTTTTAACGCGCATCTATTTAATAATGAGTATTTAAATGAAGTTCCACGATGATGTAATGATTGTCAATGTTGATGTCCCTTCGACGGGTTCATGTATCATCAACAGGTTGGTGGATTATCAACAGGCTCGTACATTGATATACTGTACTGCATTGAAACTGTAGTTGTATATCAGTTACAATATTACTATTTACCTTAATAGTACTTAGTATTTGCATAAGTTTAAACACCATTGGTTCAGGCGTGTTGATAATTGCCACCATGAAGGCATTCTAGTACGCATTGAACGACTAGTGTGATGAAATAGCATCGCATAGCTATGATTCCAAGCCATAAATGTTATCAGCAATACGGGAGATATCAAAGTTCAGCGCAAATATAAACCGAAAGCAATGTAATGGTGTCCAAGTTTTGCTAGGATTGTCTACTAGCGATAAAGTTTCTCACCAAGTAAAAATGAGGCTCAGTTGGCACAAACGTAAATGTTAAAGAGCGTGATGCATCATATTAATATACCCTAGCCATAAAATTGGCAAATATTCTCTTCATATTATTACCAGAAGCATAAAAGTCAAATATTAAGGTCGAAGAACCAAAGGTATGATTATACAAGACTTGGTCTCTGAACGGCGCAAACAAGCTGCAATTCTAAATAAGACTTCTGGAATATGTTCTCACGACGCAAAAGCGCAGTAAATCAGGGTTCACCCATGTGCTCTCACCCATGTATAATGAGTAATAAATGTTTGCATAGGGGGGGGTAAGGGGTATGTGCACATTCATTGTTTGTGGAACGGTACTATTGATGATGCGGGCAAAAAAAATTTTATATTACAAAGAGCAATACAACAAAGAAAAATGCTTTATGTATGATTGGTCGTTCATTGTTCGATTAAAAGTTTCCTTTACTTTTGACACATTTTTATCAAAATGATTGTTAGTCTATTATAATAAACAATATCAGCTTTCAAAGGTCAACGTTGTCTAAGATTAAAGGACATGTTATTGTCGTTGCCTGTAATTGATATGCAGAACAATGTACTTAATCTTTGCTGCATAGTTCTTTGATATAGGAGAGCAATTACAAACAGATTAATTTTACCGCATAGTTTACCACCGCTTATATTAAAGATTTCATCTCCGACCGCCATGCCTGCAAGACTATAGCATTTGGTAGATGCAGGAGGTTAATTAGACATGGTGCAGTCCGTCTGATAAATGAATGGGCCGCGATTCATTACTTTAAGTTATAGTCTCCTAATTGAAATATTTGGAATAATATATCTGTTCATTCATTGTGATTGATAAGAATTCGATTAGAAACAGACCAACAGTAAATTGGGCAAGTGCGTCTCCTAGCTCATCACGATGACTAACAGCAGTAGTACTAGACAACAGACAATCAAAAAATAATCACACGACCGAAAGTTTCAACAATAATGAATAAATTTGTCATTATCATTGCCCTGCATAACAAATTAAACCCTGAGCATTCGATGCATTTATGATTCTATAAATAAGCAAAACCAATGACGACCGTAGATTATGTTTGTGTTGATTAATGACAAGGACAACAGAATGAGAATATTACTTATTTCGTTCAACCCGATGCTCATGTGATAGCAAAGGAAGATATTGTTATTTCCGTTATAGAAAAAGGTGGACCATTTGACGTATTACAAGCCAATTACATGATGTGCAAGAACATGAAACGTTGTTTACCAAGGAGACAATGCTCATTGAACTTAAACAACGACTCGGTTAAGTATTATTATTATCGTACGTCTGGTTTTGACGAATTCAAATGGAATTTGGAACCAAAGTATCCATTGAAAAATTCAGTAAAGTTTTTGATATTAATTCTTACGAACAAGTGTCCGGATAGAAAATCGGTTGTGTTTCCCAAGTACACTTAGAATGCCTGCTTAATTGAGTGAATAAGGTCAGTGTTATATTCATGGAATTCAACAGTACCAGTTATAATTTGTAGTAATCCGTAACAATTTGTTTCTTATGGACTTTTAAGAGAGATTGGTTAGAAATAGGAACAATGAAAAATTGCGCAAAAAAAGAAAATTTTCTGTGCAAATAAATGTCCAGTGAGAATCGTATCCATTACAAACCAATTAACACTGCTAGAGAGCCACATCTGTGTAATATCAATGCTATCGTGAATGACTATTGGGAATATCTGCGTTGTACAAAGTAGGAAAGAGACTGAATGATAATACCGAAAACGAACACCAGGAATTAAATAAAGGAATGTGTATCCCTGTGTATTCGGGATTGTGACATCATCCGTGCTGATCGGCATTTGTATTTGCTCACACCTCCATGTTCGGTACGCTGCAGCATATAATTAAAGCAGTACATCTTGGACCGCAAAAATGTACGCTTTCTGACAATTAGGAGGTTCTATTAAATTATTTGCAGGATTCAAAAATAATGGCCAAACAGAAAGCACATAGTAATAGACGGGTAGTGGTCATCAACATGATTGCGTTACCAGGTTTCGATAACAAAAGGAATCTTTCTAACCATTTAACTTATTTCAACAAATCATCACGGGTTCCAATGTGACATTAATATGTGCTACTAGTTTGCGGATTATTACTATTGTTGTTATATTACAGAGTCATACTCGCAATGAGTAAAATAACATTTAACCCGCAATTAACCTTTCTACTAATATGATTTTAATAAAGAATGAGGTTAAGGTTCTATGGAGCAAACCGTCTACCACAAAAAAAGTTATAAAAGACGTTTGGACTAAATGCAATGGCGAAAAAGACAATGTCTAGTACTTTATCCCACACCCAAGTGCGATATTCTAATACAATGTGCGTATCACCTATTCACAAAAAGTATTGGTATATTTCGTAATCTCCTATTCTGACTATCAGCTATGCTGAAAACTATAGTCGGATAACAAATATCAAGCGTAGGTATTAATATCAAGTATTACAAGAAATCCTTTGTCTAAAATTGGGATCAAAACAATAGAATTCATTGACTGCAAATGTTCGAGACTAGCGCTAACCAATCTGACATCGATGTACATAAACACACCATGCAAATATTTGTTAAATAGTTTCTATTATTAACTTCGTTACACACTGGGTTCGAGACTATGGGTACTTTCCCAATGTGCAACACATTAATTAATACAACCTTTTTATTTCGTGACACTGATGACGAACGCTATCTCCATAATAATGGAACCACGTTAGCATGCACAATATCTATTTTATTTGAGGCTGTGGTTTACGAATATAGACTTATTTTTATGCACATTAAAGCATAATTAATCTGGTTGGTGATTTTTATTTACATCGAATTTCTTTGCAATTAATTACCAAGGAATGACTTATATAAGTAGGCGGAGCGTTCTACTTGCAACTCATTCCGCGAGAATATCTTCGAGGAAAAGAGCAAAAAAAAAAAAAAAAGACAGCAAACAACAACTTCACTTTTTCTTTCTAAGCTATAGACACAACCATCATCGCAACTCTATCGGTGATCAGCAACCGTCAAATATTCAATTCAAGTACTAGAATTAAGAAATTCGATCATCTATATATTAATATCGTCACAACTATATGCTATATACCAACAATACCATGTCCGCTTACTTTCTTCCAACGGAGCAAGGAATTACGCTTTTCTTGGTTTACCTTTCTGCCAACGGATTCCCTGTGGTTACGGCTACATCTATAACAAGCACACCGTGCGAGATTGATCTTTTGTTGAATCCACCATATAGGCTTACTCACTCACTCGACGCCCTCCTTGATCCAAACCTAAGACAACGCAACAAGCGTGACACAACACCGCCAAGACCTAAAAATGCTTTTATTATATTTAGAAAGGATTTCGAAGGCCTATTCCGCGCATTGTATCCCGACGAGTGCTACAGCATTCAAACTATTTCTAAAATTGCCGGTGAAATTTGGACAAGTCTACCGGATGTTGTAAAACAATATTTCGATGTGTTGGCAAAATTGGCGCGTCAACGACATAGAGACGCTTATCCCGACTACGCTTACAAACCAAAGCAGAGGAGACGAGACAGGAGAGATAATTGGTTGTTCAAAGAGGTTAATAAGGACAAGATTATGAAATAATATGAAAGGGAGAGAGTAGAAATTTTGATAATTTCGTTCCCCCTTTTTGACAAGCAAACCTTGATTTGCATTAGAATAATAATGTCGACATTTGTTTTGATAACATAGCTACTGACATTATAATAGTATTCGTTCCCCTCTTTTCTTTGACATGTACCGATATAGATGAATAGCAAAGAATTGTACATTGCGTCCAGATAGAATCTTTTTGTTGTGAATAACATTGACTTATGATGTCATATGTCGTTAATTTAGCAGGTTTCGTAGAACTACCAATAGACCAATAGCTAGATGCTACATAAATAAAGGCGTATTCCCATTTTTAAGCATGAAACTTGTGTGTCGGGGTTGGAGTTGATCATGAGAACCCGCGAACTTGATTGGAATTGGATAATATTGTAATGTTATACATGAGCTTTGCGGGCCGTGAGTACGTTGGTTAATTCTGGTATTGAGCTTTGTATGGCTTTGAAAAACAGAGTATCTGAAAGCCCTTCCCTTAAATTAATCTTGGCACATTTTGTCCTATTATTGGGTGCTTACAAATATATTTTCCGAAAACTCCGAAAATATGGTAAACACACTAATATTTGTCCGAATAATAGTTTAAAACTGCGCCAAATGTCTGGGAAATGGGAAAATGTTTAACCAGACATTGAAAACAATAACTTATAACTCTCGTACAACTTTTTAAAAATTTCGAACCAATACAACTATTCTGTTCTAAGCGATATTTTATTTGCGTTCAAAGACGATTTCAATAACACTTTTTTTGGAATTCAGGAGTTGAACAACTTCTTTCTTACTCCCTTAATATTAACGGACACGGAATTCCGAATAACGACTATAACGGTACAAATTGTATGACACAAGTACGCACAAGCATCACCAATTAGACAGCTGACCGACTGCGTACGAACTATTAATCAATATATAGAAAGCCGTTCTATTTGTGTCTGTTCGTCCCTCCCTATTTGTTGGTCTTCATCAAGTTGAAATTTTAATCCCGCACAGACTTTTAGACGACACTTTGAGATTAAAGAAGGCTTTGCATATCCAATCTTGTCTTTGGCGAAACCATCAGCTCGGATGACTCTGATGTCTAATCTTCCAAATAAACAAGAAACCATGTTACCTAATATCTCTTCGTCTCCTTTTCCATCTTTTCTTACCGATCAATTTTCCACAATGTCCACGTCAATTAAAGAAAGTCTTAGTCCGCTCGAACGTAATCTCTTGTTAAATCCACCTTACCCTCTGAACATTCCTCTCGATGATCTCCTCGGCAATAATCGTAAGATAAAGAAGCCGTTTCCTCCGCGTCCCCAGAATGCGTGGATTATTTTTCGCAAAAACTTTGAAAGCGAATTCCGTTCTCGGTATCCTAATTCTAGTGTCTTGGAGATTTCAAGGATCGCCAGTACGCATTGGAAAAGTCAACCGGATTTTGTTAAAAATTATTTCGAAGTACTTTCTAAATTGGCTCGCCAACAACACAAGCATGCTTATCCTGGTTACACTTACGCGCCAAGAAGACAAAAGCTGGTCAAGCCGAGAACCCAGAAGTATGAAAAATTAGTAATTGTTGAAGGTAAAATTGCGGGATACAGAAACAAAAAATGCGCCAAGGATGAAGAGAATCGTAATAGAATTGAAAAGAACGAAAATGAAAATAAGCAAATGGACAAACGTGCCAATGATAAAGAAGTCTCGTATGATGTACAGCACAAGGACTCTGCTACGCCATCAATCCGTAACGATATGTTGGAACTCCCCAATGTAAACAACATGCCATCAAACGAAACTTATCAGGCGGATAATTATGCATTCACTGACAACATTGGAATTAACCTCAATAGTCTATCGTTTAATTATTATCCTGTTCACATGTACCCTCTTGTTGATATGACTAGAAACGAGCAGCCATATATCGCAGCCGATGGGTACGTCAACGAAGATTATTTCACATACAATGTCTGCGGCTGAAGATTTTTTATGTGTACATGTTTAGTCAGAAAGATGTATACTGCGCAATTACCAAGCGTAGTGCAGTTCCTCAAGCCTATTTTTATATCAGTCCTTCTTCAATGGCTTTTTTATTAATTGTGTATTTGATATTCATGTCTTGTTTCTTACCTTGGCGCAAAAAAAAAAAAGTCTAAACACAAATTAGTACGTGTGGAAGCCTGATCAGAAAAATGCTCTCTTTTTCATGCTCAAGTCAACTATATTTTATAAGCAGTGACGTTTTTAAGAAAAAGAAAAGCCACAATTTGAGTTTGAATATGAAGCACACAAAAAGGAAGGCTTGATAACATGTATTCGATAATAATAAGTAGCATACCGTTTTTATTGTTATTAGAATATGCGTGGTAGATTACCGTAGAGTATTATCTCCAAAGCCTTTTTTGTACTCGTGAATTGCAGAATTATCAATGTGTTTAGATTAACATATGCTTTCTTGACAAGTACTACTTTGTTCATAGCCACGAATTAAAAGAAAGCTTTTTCGTGCAAACAAATCTATTCAATAAATAAATATAAAGTTTTTTCTTCAAATTCTACAAAGGTATAATTCCGATGGTCATACATGTCCAGGTTCTTTTTCATTGCGTAGTCATCACATACACAGTCATACTTGTGTGTTTGGCGCGTATCTTGTACCGCTAATTGTGTGTTATGAATAAAGGCTACATATTAATTTAAGCGAATGGTAATGTGTAATGCAGCACACTCGGTTCGATTATATCACACGGCACAACTGGCGATCATATCTGTATGGCCTTTGAACTTCCCGCACGTAAAAATGTGTCTTTGCCAAAGTTATGGTTTCTGTATACTCAATATTATTGTCATAAAGATTTTCTTGTTGCCAGGTAATCACATGGTCTTTAGTTTAAAAGAAATGCTTTTTTGTGCGACTATTTGCTAAGAGCGATTGGATTAGTAACGTGATAGAAGATATGCATACAAACTTGCCGAACAATATTAGCAACTTTCTTTTGCCATATAGTGACCAAATAACATGTGACGTTTGCAACGCATTAGTATTAGTAATATCCGAAAGTATTGGCCATTAAATCATACAACAATGAGTTAACGAGAACAATCGAACAGTTGCCAAATTAAGTAATTAATAGTGTTTGAGGACAGAATGATCACATCTACATTTATGGCGCAACAATCGGAGATGCCCGTCTTTTTATAATAATAATAGTATTTAAATCATTCTTGTAAATTGATTACAAGTTGTTTGTTCAGATTATCGGGAACAAACGTGCTTTTATGCAGGACGTTTGTGAATGTAAAAGCGTAGCAATGCGGTCATTTGTATTTGTCATCGATATTTGGCACTCTTATTGGCATATGAATAATGGTATTTATTATTCTATTATAATTACTGTATATATTTATATACGTTTAAAACATAGCATTTAGTGTATTGAAATATAGTCAATTATTGTGAACAATAGTGAATTGAATTCACCAAGAAACTCTAAACAAAGCAAAAATAGAGAGAAACACATTTTTCTTGTATATGGCGATAGTATAAGCCTTTCCGTAAATCGTACGTCTTATTATTACTGTTGTATCCTATCCATTCTCGATTAAATCTTCACTCCACATAAATTACATTGTATTTGGTTGTTAGCGTAAAATGGTTATGTAAAGTTTATATTAAACATATACTGCCATAAGATCAAGCTATTTGATAAAACCAAAAATATATTATAAATAGGTTGTATTAAATAATGAGTGTAATTATGAAGTGGTAGGGGTTCTTCTTGTTAACGCGTATTTAGCAAGTCCTCGTACTCTTATTATTCACATACAGTCTATACGATTATATTTTCTTATCCGTAGAAATCATTATACTTTTTGTTTTCTCCTGCTGTATATTTGCAGGTTAGACTTCGTTACAAAGAAAGTGTTTGTTTTACCGAATTTCTCGTTATAACGAATCATAGATGACCCCCCCACGTCTTCGGTATAACGGGGTTCAATTGTAGACCAACAATCATCCCACGCTCAAAATCAGACAGTTCTGCAGCTCATGGCATTTCAGACAATGTTTTCAATCGGTTTAAAAGTTTTTTCTAAAAGTTTAGATTCAGCGCTACAAAAGAAAAAAATTATGCATAGAAACTGAGGGAGTTATACTTGTTGAAAAAATGCCGATGCAAAGCACATATCAATCGAATTGGTTGAGAATCTTGTCAGGGGTTTACGATGCTCTCACTTCACAAGGGTGGCAGCTAAAATTTATTATAAATTAATGGCGGTTATTAAGACATTGTTTGTGTACATATGGTTTAAAAAAAATCGATTTTTATATGTCTCAATAGCTAATTCTTACGTTGTACGTCCTATAACTTCGGCATACCACACTTTGCTATTTACATCATTAAAAAGAGCATTTCTTGGCGAGTCGAACAATGTAAATTATACTAATTTTTATTATACTTTTGACAGGGGTGTATGTAATAGATCAAAATTTGTTATTGTGGTACAATTTACTTCACTCGTATCGATTATCACGTGGCCACTTTTTTTTCGCGTCACTTTAAAAGTTCCTCACGATAGTCACTTGACAAGGATCTATTTTTCACTGACTACTAGCCATGCCAGAAAACAGAATGCACGAATGGATTTCTAGATGAAAGCAAAGCAGAACAACTTGAACAGAAGATAGACGACTACATCAAATGCCTCGAAACTATCATTAGGTGTGAGCAAGGAAGGCATAAGGTCGGAGGAAAGAGTGCAGTTGCTCATCGATAGATATAAAACGGCAAGTACCATTTTTTGTTAGTATTAGTATTAGGGGCATGTAGGGCTATTATAGAAACTCCAGATTGCCATGTAGATAGAAGAGACTATATCTCTATTATACTACTACCGTAGAAACCAATTTCTACTCTCGCAGGAGTTCTCTACAACAGCCTAGTGGCATGGCGACTTACTAGGTCGTTGGTTATTAGCCGAGCCACAAGGCCAGTGCTGGGGCACAGGAGACTTACTAGGTCGGCTGATGTTCAAGGTTACTAGCTAACTCGGCACGGCCCGTTGTTATAGAAACTCCAGATTGCCATGTAGAAGAGACTATATCTCTATTATACTACTACCGTAGAAACCAATTTCTACTCTCGCAGGAGTTCTCTACAACAACCTAGTGGCGTGATGGTGACTTACTAGGTCGTTGGTTATTAGCTGTCAGTGTTGGGGCACAGGAGACTTACTAGGTCGGCTGATGTTCAAGGTTACTAGCCAACTCAGCAATGGCACCATTGTTATAGAAACTCCATATTGCCATGTAGATAGAAGAGATTATATCTCTATTATACTACTACTGTAGAAACCAATTTCTACTCTCGCAGGAGTTCTCTACAACAGCCTAATGGCATGGCGACTTATAGGTCATTGGTCATTCAAGGTTATTAACTGAGCCACAAAGCCAGTGTTGGGGCACAGGAGACTTACTAGGTCGGCTGATGTTCAAGGTTACTAGCCAACTCGGCACTGGGCTCCGTTGGGGCGCGGGGGACTTACTAGGTCGTCCGACGTTCAAGGTTAATAGCCGATCTGACGGGATAGGGATGGGAAATTGGATGGGAACTTGTAGATATTAATATGTGTATGTTGAGATAATTGTAAATTGCTTCTTTTGTGCTAGAGCACTTGACCAGATCGAGTGGCAAGAAGATAGTTCCTTAAATCATGATTAGCCATAAAGAAGATCTAATATGTTAAATGAGCATATTCAAGTATTAGCAAGAAAAAGACGAAATGCAGACGATTATAGAGAAGGATTATCAACTCTGCCAACTAAGATCAGTATTAGTATATAATCTAAAATTTAGCTAGCAAAACTTTTTCTTAATCATTTGACCATCTTTTAAATGCATAGATCAGAGTAATCAACTCTCCACCCTTGAGAGGATTCCAGACCAAACAGCTGAATCAGATGCATCTTGCACTCTCTCTCCCCACCAAACTCAGATTCAGTTTAATGAGAACGAGAATGCATCAACTGAGGTTGCAAAAATAAAAATGTAGACCATTGTCATCATCTTTTTGAATATTGTATTGTCAACCTCTCTGAAAAAAGTCTCATAGACCCAATAAATAAAGCCTTTTCAGATGATGATAAAAAAGGAATGAGAAAACTCTGGGAAGAGGTAGCTTTGGATTGTAATCAATAATAATTTTACACGTTCTTTTAGATGGAGCCATCAGCTGAAAAGAAGCAGAATACATTGCATCGACCTAGGTGGGAAAAAAGTATAAAGCCTCTAATTGACAAGTATGCACTTGCTGTTGAGGTAAAGCCAGAATTAGTTTTTGATGATTATGTTCAGCCACCATCAACAAAAATTATCTTCAAAATACCATTCGAAGGCGAGTTTGATTTCAAAAAACATTATGACATGTTATGGGTACGAGATATCTATCAGCAATTGTAGATATACCATATACCATATACCTTATTACTTAGTATAATGCAACACAGTCAAATAATTAATTCCTGCATTTTATTTTAGTATTTTCTTGTTCGCCTCTTCTTTTAACATGCTTCGCAATGCAAATACATCGGAGATAGCTTACAGAGAATTATTTGTTAATCCTATAATTCCCAAATCATTCGAGGATGTGAACGACAAGATCAGGTTCCAAACGTATGTTGTATATTTTGTATAGTTTAGTTTATCGTATATGTAATGAATTCTTGATTAATCGAATATAATATTTAGTGGAGAGATAGAGAGCGCATTACGTAAACAACATTGAAACCAGACAAAGGCCAAAATAAAAAGCCTCGGCTAATGCTTGGGTCAAACCATGACGGGATTCTAAAGATTGGATTCTTAGAGGTTGTAGGGAACGCAATGGTTGTGGATCTTAAAAAATATTGTTACGGTCGGGAAATAAAATGGGATTTTTGGGAGAGCGATTTATCTTTCGTGTAGGTGTGTTCGCCGACCGGGGGATGTTACCAGGCTTAGCTCGTACTAT